GTAAATACAAAGGTTTTAGAAATAAAAAAAAAATATTGTTTTGTAAGAAAAAGATTATTTATAAATTAATATGAGACAATGCCTCCAAGTCAAATTGTCTTTCAATAAGGTATTTTATCACCTGATATCTTTTACAAATTTAATTAATTTTGGTAATTTGACTGTTTACTGAAATTCTGAATACGTCCACGTTCGCGAACTGTTGACCGGTCAATAGATTTGACTTTTTACCGCGCGTGATCTGACGCGTGATCGGTAATTCTTTTATAAAAACATACTATTTATAACCACCTACTAAATAACTCATTTTTAAGCGTTTAGCATAATAGTGTAGTGGTAGAGTGTTCGCCCTTTGGGTGTGGAGACCCTGGTTTTTGTTTTTAGTATTTTTTACAAACAACAGGATTTCAGTTTCACGTAAATTTCATTCATACATTGCTGTTCAAGAACATCTAATTATACACACATTCGCATTCAACAGATTAAGTATAAGACAACACAGTCGTGATTGGGGTGATTAAAAAGCAATGGGAGAAAATATATATATATAGTCTATAGAAATGAGCCAAAATTGTTAAAAATGTGGTGAATAGAATTCAGAGTTTCAAACAGAATAAAATTGATAAATAAATACAGTTTATTCAATCTGTTCTATGACAGTTAAACACTAAAATACATTCAATTTTGCTTAACCGGCATAAGTTTAACTTACAATTATATAAACCATTAAAAAAGAGAAGATGAATAGTTACGTAACACACAATAAAATATTTTCTGAAAGTAAAAATCATTCTCAAATAATGTGCACAGTTGCACTCGCAAAACCATGTTTATAAGCTAAGATCTTTATAATCTGAACTCTCTAACCACTACGCTACTCAGATTTACGTGTCTATCGCCACTTTTATTCTTCTATATTGCAATAAAAATGCAAAATGTAATAATTAAAGAACTGAACAACCCATTATATCATAATAGTAGGACTTATAATAGCAAAATTATTGTTTCCATAAATTGTTTTGACAGTATAACAGAGAAAAACAATATGAAAACCTGTTCACAAATTACATATGAAATAATTGTATAATGTATATCAATATACTTTTCGATATTGAATAACGTACATTAGTACTTTTATTCTATCTTAATTGTTTATCATATCTGCAAGCTATCTTACCTACATACGCTATGATAATTATCACAGTTCATTTTGGTCAAAACTTCATACGTCATATTATTTTATCTGTAAGTTCATCATATTCATTTATTATGTAATTTTGAAATATGTATCGCTAATACGGTCTTGAAAATATAAATTGAATTTATAAATGTATAGTTGTTTGTTTTTGTTGTTTTTACTCAACAAATTGTTTAAATTAAAATCACATGCGATATGAGATGTTTGGGTAGATATTATCTGGTTATTGGGTAGATATTATCTTGTCTCAAAAATAATTGAATATTAACTTATAGAAGAGTTGACAACATGGGTTCCATATTAGTGAAAACAGTTAAATAAATAAAAGATAGCACATATTATAATATTTTTGAAATACCCTTAGAGAATTACATAATACTTTTATATGTAACAAATTATTGCACTTTTGACTATGCTTTTATCAAGCGCAATGTTTCGGGTCTATCCGCCAGTCTTCGGAATAGGACCACGCACACAATAATAAGAATACACAGAACGGATACGGCATTGCTATATGTTCAATCATAGTTGTACCGAAATAGACTTTTGTTTTTCTTAATATGTCAAATAAATCCATTTAATTTATCAAAAAGTACGGCCTTTGTTTTTGTTTACACTTAAATCTACGTGGTAGAACTTATTTCAATCCGTTTTAAGCCCGAAGTTATTATTGATAATAGCCGAGATGTTCCAATTCTGCTTTTATATAAACTATTTTCTTATGTGGTTAAGTTTCACGTCGTATCAACGCTGTAAAGGACATTTTGGCGATGTTAGAAGAAGACATCGGGTGTCCCTCTTTACATTATTTCTGAGCTGGTACCTGATTAGAAACACCGAAGTCCCGTAAGCTTCATTACATGAAGTAATCAAATGTCACTGACGGTATTTGAACCCATAGCGGTGAAGTGGTTTGAAGTCGACGCCCTTAGCAATTCATCCAAGAACGCCGCTATCAAAATGTATATGTCGCAAAAGTTAAGTAATGTTAATGCACCTACTTTAATTAAAAATACTATTTTCAATTTATTTATTTTATATCATATAATTGAGTATCTAAAACTAGAGCTTTTCCCGATTTGCCATTAAATAATGATTGCAATTTACGTTCACGTGTTGAAATAATACAGGCTGCAATTTAATGTGAGAAGTATTCATAAAAGTTAACAAAAAATAAACAATATTAACACTTAAATATCTCCATAAACAGGCTCAACCGAGCCTGCAACATTTACAATTTTGTCGTTTTGGACTTTCTTTGGGGATTTTTATTTCTCTTTTTTTTAACGGCACATCAGCGCTGTTTGTGCCGTGTGAAGGCTTTTAAAAGTCGCCCCGAACATTCAATCAGTCATGTTATATTTCTGATCCTTAAGGATCGTTCAGCACGACATTATTGTTGTGGTAGTTTTATTTTTAACCAGTTGGCATTTTCTAGTTGGGTGGTTCCAATGTCCCTACTTGAATAATATTGAAACACTCTTTGGATATATTGCCTGCTTTTTTAATTTTGTCGTTTTAGACTTTCTTAGAGGATTCTTCATTTCTATCTATTTTATACAATGATATGTGAATAATATTAGCATTATCCCGAACTGAATTCTGTAACACAAACATTCCGGAACTACAATTCATTAGCTACATGTAGAAGTTAATGCACTTCTCTCTGACCACAATTTACCATCAACAGTACTTCTTAACAACAATTCATGCATTCAAAATAAAATCGTAGAGCTATTGTTGCTAGAAAATTAAAGTCCCGATGATATAAAATATTTAGTTACTTTTACCATCAAGCTTAATGCAAATGTATTGAACCAGGTAATTTCTCCTAGATCATCACTTTTATTTTTGAAATAAATAATAATTAGAACTAGATTTTCAAGTCTTTCAGTTAAAAGGCGGGGCGATTTGTTGATCCTAGACTTAGACAGTTACGTGTCCGAAGTAATTCTTAATAACACGATTCCGTTTCAGAATCAAGCAAGAAATAATAAAGCTCTTCATTAAGGAGGTATCAACATGGTGACGGAAGCAAAAGTTAACAACTAAGTCGCTACATTTTTAATAATGATGGATAAAGATGATGTTTTGTTTAATCATATATCATTTAATGACTAAATAGAAATGCCTGCATTGGCGTTTTCAACAATGTACGTTATATAATTTTATTTCTGAAACCTACTTAAAGTAAAAATGGAAGCCGCCATTTTTGTACCACGTGACTGCTCTTCTAATTCTTTGATTCTAGGAATCATTAAAAAAAACAAGAATTGGCTAAATCGCACCGGCCTTTAACAAAACATGTCACTTCTTGACATATTATGTTTTACTGCACATAAACTTGCAAAAGATAGAGAAATAGATTAGGTCGAAAAATGATAGGAAATGTTAATTGATTTTATTGACCACTGTGACAACGGCTCTAAACGTGAACGAATGCCTCCGGGATATTGCAAAAAAACAAGGATAGCGAGAGCTTGGCAAAACATATGTTTATGAATAGGCAAAAACTAGTCGACGGTGTGTTTTAATCGTTCTTTATAAATCCATATTGAAAATACGTTAAATTTGGATTTGCTATCATAAAGACATTGAAGTCTTGTTTGTAAATTGATGATTGTACATATTAGAGAAATATTTATAATTTCAATGTATTATATATGAGACAAAAGCTTTAATAAGTTCTGAAGAAGAGCCGTCTCCCTATATTAAAACATATGATCAATACCACTTATCAGTAATACATTGTATACATCATACATTTGTTTTTTACACAAAATTTCAGTTAATATACAAAAAAATAATTTAGTTCTATTATTTCTGAACATATTAGCTTATATACACACATTCGGATCCGTTACTGGAACCAACAGGTATTTAGCAATGCATGTAAAGTTTCTAGCTCAAGGAAAAATTGCTTAACATGTACATGTTGAGTTCTCATAAAACGTAAAAAATTCTTACCCAACCGGCGAGAGACCCTTAGATTAAGAGTCCGACGCGTTTACAAGTCGGCCATGATGTAATTCAATTTGTTTAATAATATTTCACTTTTGGGTGAGGGGTTGCCTTAAAGGGTTTGTGCATCAGAATTGCAGCCACCGATTATCCCTGACGACTATATGGGTTCCATTAATCTTTTAGCTGACCCCTGGTATATTTTAAACTTGTAAGAGCCGAGGATAAACAACATTCATCTTTCTTGTTTCAGTACCAGTTTAAAAACTGGAACTTTAATTAAAGACCATTCTTTAAATGTATAGTTCTCATTGTTTACGGTGATGCCAAAATCGTTTTCTTATTATATGTAGTATCAAATATTTATAAAGGGACAGTTAATTATGCAATGCTTGCTTTAAGTGTTAAGTAACAAAATGTATAATTTACTCATTTTGTTCAAAAATGCACAAACAGAACGAAGAAAGCTGACGTTAAACGATATTCTCTCATTTGCAATCGGCACCTAAATCTATCATGGAATTTTTTGAAGACCTAAGTGGTTAGTGTAAGGTTATGTCCATGACGGTCTTTGTAAAATAGACAATATCATTAAAGTACATTATAAATAGACAGTATTATTGTATAACGTGTGTGTAAATCTATTTGGAATAATATTGTTTAAACCAAAATAGACATTTTTGCAACATTGAATACTTAAATAACACATTATGTGTTTGAAAATTGAAACTATGTACATGTAGAATATCACCACTGGCATTTGATATGAAGAACGAATAAATAAAAAAAATGAGTAATTCAATTAAAAAGCAATTAATTGATAAACAATATTTGTTATGTATGGCATTTTATCCTGCGGGCTCGACATTAGGATATATAAAGCGGTCTGGAGACACTGTTGCAATTATTCATTAGTTTATACACACGTATGGACAAAATGGGTGTTCTTAACATAATTGTTATGTGTATTATATGTAAGTATATTCATATGTTTATAATAATTACAATAATAATTACAATACGAATACATATTCGTCTTATAGTTAAGAATGTAATTGACTTAATAAATATATTATTTTTATTTTCAGTAGCGGGTAACATAGCTAGCAATTACTTTGATTGATAAAACAGGAATAAAAAGTTTTGATTGTGTATTTTATATGTTAGATAAAGATAAATTTTTAATTATAGTGACATGTGCTACAACAAATAATATAAACATATTTTGACAAAATAAAATAAGTCAACAACCGGCCGAATGGGCCTAAAGTCACCTTAAATAATAGACTAAATTACGCACATGTGATCAAATGTTACGGCATATCGCAATTGTTAGCTACACTTGTTAAGTGTATGGTGACAAATATATTTGCAATGTATAAACATGTTCGTTAAAATCACAAAGAATGTGAAAATATAACAGACGTTGTCCGGTCTGAAATGCACTAACAATACATTTTGCAGTTTTACGAATATTGTCATTAAGTTATACGCATTCTTATATAATATGATATTTGCAGGGCAAATAAACAGCGTCGGGGCACAAGAGATACGGCCCCAAAAAGCTGGCAATTTGAAGGCAGTAGAAAACTGGGTACTGTATATAAAACTCGGCAATGACGAGGTGTGCGCAGGTGTACAACTTTCTGACGATTGGGTTCTTACCCTTGCTGACTGCATTGATAAAAAAATGTAAGAAATTTTATTATATTTGTTTTAACATATTTCTTCGATATATTTACATTATTGATGATAAACAATATTTACACAATACATTTTGGGATTGGGCAGAAAGCTTTGAAAGCTTATACGTGTCCTCTCCCATATTGAATTATCATATATTTATTACTTGATGATCATTTATCTTTGTCATATTTATATTGTACCAATGCATCTAACTGTATGGGAAAGGGAAAATTCATTGGAAGGAAATAATGCAGCAAATTTACATGGAATTGCAGAATTGTTTGAGTAAGCCTTTTCTTGAGGGAAAAGTGCAACATCCCTCACGCAACCTAGCACCGGCTGATGCGGTACTCAATCGTTTGCACTAAATTTGCTGGAATCAATGATTATTTTATTGAAGGATCAGAAATCTATAACAACTCTAAAGTATTAAAAGGTCTGAGGCGACTTTTACGTCTTTAACACGGCACTTGATTCCTACTCTACAACGATTGATCACGAATATGGGATGGGATGATTATGCGGCCTGTATGGAAACGTTAATTGGGCACCTGAAAGTTGATACTTACCTGTGTTATTGTATGCATTTGTCCACTTTATCACCATATCTCGTGAAAATATAACACTTCTTGATGCATTGATGTTTCTGTTTTATACCAGAAGTTTTTATGCCCCCGCCATGTAATGGCCGGGGCATATAGTGTTACCCTGTTCCGTCATTCCGTCCTTCCGTCCTTCCATCCTTCCGTCCTTCCGTCATTCTGTCATTCCGTCATCATCAGTTTCCGTTCATTATCTTAAGAACGGTTAGACATATTCAACTCAAATTTGACATATGGATATGTCATGAGAAAATACAGGTCAAGTTCGAATTTGGTCATGGTTCGATGATTTTTGGCAGAGTTATGCCCCTTTTACTTTGAAAATAATATGAAATTTCAGTTTCCGTTCATTATCTTAGTAACGGTTGGACACATTCAATTCAAACTTGACATATGGATATGTCATGAGAAAATACAGGTCAAGTTCGAATTTGGTCATGGTTCGATGATTTTTGGCAGAGTTATGCCCCTTTTACTTTGAAAATAATATGAAATTTCAGTTTCCGTTCATTATCTTAAGAACGGTTGGACACATTCAATTCAAACTTGACATATGGATATGTCATGAGAAAATACAGGTCAAGTTCGAATTTGGTTATGGTTTGATAATTTTTGGCAGAGTTATGCCCCTTTTACTTTGAAAATAATATGAAATTTTCAGTTTCCGTTCATTATCTCCCCAATGGTACAACACAATCAACTCAAACTTGACATATTGATATGTCATGAAAAAATACAGGTCAAGTTCGAATTTGGTCATGGTTCGATGATTTTTGGGAGAGTTATGCCCCTTTAACTTTGAAAATAATATGAAATTTTCAGTTTCCGTTCATTATCTCCCTCAAGGTACAACACATTCAACTCAAACGTGACATATGGATATGTTTTTGGAATGCCCAGGTCAAGTTCAAATTTGGTCATGGTTCAATGATTTTTGGTAGAGTAATGCCCCTTTCACTTTGAAAATAATATGAAATTTACAGTTTCTGTTCCTTATCTACCCAACAGTGTCACATATTCAACTTTAATTTGACATATGGATATGTCAAAGGAATGGGCAGGTCAAGTTCGAATTTGGTCATGGTTTGATGATTTTTTGGCAGAGTTATGTCTCTTTCACTTTGAAAATAATATAGATACATCTTAGGAATAAGCAGTTTAAGTTGGAATTTGGTCATGGTTCAATGATTTTAGACAAACTTATCTTTCCTGAATGTTGGAAAAATTTTGAACTTTCAGTTTCACCACTCATTCTTTTAGCCATTATTTTGGCTACAAATATGCAATATGCTATTTCTAAAAGGTTAAGACTGAATAATTTCAGTGCTTTGAACATTGTATGGAAATAGTTTGTGTTAACATTGAAAAGTTTTAAGGGCTTTGAACTTAAAATGAAAAAAATAATTAAAGCACCATCTGAAATTTTGGCTGCATGCGGGGGCATCCGTGGCATGATGACACATTTCTAGTTTCTCTTTAAGACATGCCGATATATCGGAACTGGTTTTGACGAGAAAAAGTTAATTGGGTACCTGAAAGTTGACACATACCTGTGTTATTGTATGTGTCTTTGTCCACTTTATCACGGTATCTTTTGAAAATATAAGACTACTTGATGCATTTATACCAGTTATTTTTTTCTACTATATCGACATGTCATCAAGAATGTCATTGTTACTTACATTATAGCGGAATTCCGAAAAAAACATATGTTGCCAAAGCCTAAACATGTCGCGAGGAGGCGATGTTTTCCCACTCTTGACCAGTTCCGTTATATCGACAAGCCATAAAGAATAGTATTGCGGGGAAAAAACTTCTGGTATAAAACTGAAACACTAATGCATCAAGTAGTCATATATTTTTACGAGATACCGAGATAAAATGGACAATGCTACATACAATAACACAGGTATAGGTATCAACTTTCAGGTGCCCAATTAACGTTTCCATAGGCCTGCCAATATAAGAATAAAACCAATCTTAGTTTCCACGTAATATGTGATAAAAAGCCATAACAACTAATGAAATGAATTGTTTTATACTTTAAATACATGTCCGTCAAGTCATGTGTTTTATTACTTTTAGCAAGCTTACAAAATACAGCATTGTACACAAGGATGGTTCTAGAAAGGTCATAGCCGAAGACCGGGTAAGTGTGTTTATTTTTTCAATGGAAGAGGAATTTGTGTAAATTGCTCATATGTGGTACATCGACTTCTGTAATAAGACATGACGCTAAAATCATTTCACTTCAATTGAAAACAATGGACTCTATGAGTTAACGGCACATTTACACTACGGGGAGCGGTGGTCTAGTGGTTAGGCGTCTGCCTTTCAACCCAGAGATCATGGGTTGAGCCCCACTCGGGTCACGACCATGTTTATTCATGATACAAGGTTTGGCTGGTTCCAGGAAGCGAACTCGAAAGTGATTAATAAAAGTTGCAAGAACTTGTTTTGCAATTGATCTGTTAAAACCAAAGTCTAACTGCATTATATGATACATTATAGAAACAGAATGCATATCCTAGAATATCTGCTACAGGTGTAAGACTAATATTGAATATTTTTATTATGTTTTTTTTTATCTATTAAAGGACTCCTTTGGAAAGTTATTTATTCTTCTGAAGATGACCGATGATAAAGAAGCAACAAAAACAAAGTTCGCACAACTTGCTGACTCCATGTCACCCTCTTCAGAGTACAAGTTTAGTCTGTACAATCGGGACAATTCTGGTAAACTATTTAAATAATGAATGCAAGAGGATAAGATATACGTATAAAGTCTGTTCCATAAAATTGTTAAACAAAACACACTTTTATTCAACAACATTTCGATATCTTAGTTCGTTAATGTATTTAGATAACGCCTAGAAGTAAAGTTAGTAAATAAATGATGACTTTGTCATTCAAGATATACATTTCTTATCAACAGTGAAACATATTGAAAGAAAAAAATATATTAATATGCGATTCAGAAAATAAACAACAAACTCCTTGATAAAAAGAGTGTAACCCCTCAAAATGTTGGAGGTTGATAAGCGTTGTGAAATAGATAGTTAATTATCAACAATGAAGTTTTGAGTAAGTATTTGATAAATGCTTTGTTTTATGATTCTATTCCCGATCACTTTGGTTATAACTGTATCCTATTGGTTTAATGTTACAGATAAACTTCTTGCAAATGAAGTCGATTTTGTCAGAGGCTCTCAATGTGAGAAGGAAGAAATTGATGGTAATTTTGGTGAGACACATAAATGTGTTCAAGGCAACATGAATAAAAAAGCTAGATGTCTAGTAGGTTGAAATTTGAAATTGTGTTATATTACAGTAGTCACTACGGAAGCTTATCAGGGCCTCCACTTATCTAAAACAATCCCGAGAAGAAACAAGTTGACATGACTTGAAACTTTTAGATAAGTGGAGGCCCTGATAAGCTTCCGTAGTCTGACTTTTAAATTAAAATGCAATCATCTTTAACTTGCTATTAGATACCAAATTGTTTTTCCCTTTTTAGTAGCAGAAATCTTATTTTCATACTTACTTTTTTAAAGATGATTTTTTTCTTGAAAGATTTTGCTAATAAGTTGTGAAGAATAATATTAAGGTATGAGGCTACTTGTACGTTTTGAACACGGCTCTTTTCTTTCTTCCTTTTTTGTCAAACGCAGGGGAAAAAAGCAGGTCAATACCTTTTCTCAGTCAGGAAGATTGTCTCCACGTGAAGTGTTGTATTCTTGCTGTGCGTATTTATTTACCATAGCATATGAAATGGTTCTTATAGTATTAAATTGCAACACTTGTTTATTATTCACAATTTTTTAAAACAAAGATTAACTTTTAATTCTGATTGATGTGAAAATGCGTGCCTTGTTAGAATGTTAACTGAATTTGTAACATTTTCAACCACCTGTGACCAGGCTTTCTTGGAAAGATAGTGCACCCAGCTGCTATAAAATTAATTGTAAATATATATTTTATGAAAATTTTAGCCAGGAAGTCCAGTGTTTGGCTCCAAGAAAAAACAAATAATTCTGCAAGGACTTGCAGTCACATCAACTGATTCTTGCTCTTCACAGCTTCAATCTATTGCAGTCATAAAACCGCAAATCAACTGGATCAACTCGGTTATTAATGGTATTTATCAAGAAAAATATTATTTAAATACCATTCTCCAGTTCTAAAGATTGTAAAATTCGACAAACCAATTACTCAAATACTGTTGAAATCATCTGGCGACTTTGAAAAAAGAATTAAAAAAAAAACAACAACAACAACAATAACGCTAACTGCATTTATCCACTGTAAGCAACGATTAGCGATGTTTTCTTCAGAAAAAAAACTGTTTCTCTTAGTTTTCAACATTGTTACATACATATTGTACAACTTGCACATGTTATGCATATACTCTTTAAACGTTGTATTTAAATAATATCAGATTGTGGTCCTATTAAAACTTTTCGGAATGGCAAGGTGAAGCTGAACAAAAAATCTTCGACGGCAATAGGAGCCACGGCGTCTATCATGTGTGATCCTGGGTATGAGGCAACCCAAAAGAAAATCTCTTGCAAAGAAAACGGGAAATGGGAAAAATCCAGTTGCGAATTAAAAGGTTAGGGGTTAGCTATTTATAACACATAACATACAGTCTCACTATGTGACAGGTAACGAAATGACGTCGTATGTGGGTAAGAAGAAAACGATCAACAACCTGGTTGTGGTCAAATGATATACAGCTTACAGGAACAATAAGCTTACAACTGGTTATCTAGCTTACGTGACTTCTGCTCAAGTGCCCTTTTGTTAATGAAATAATGCACTGACGATCACCTGGAGGTCTTCGTCCACCAGTAAAACTGGAAAGTCGCCATATGACCTATACTGTGATGGTGCGTTTGACGTAAAACCCAACAACAACAACACTTAAGTCATATTACCAGTGAGAGATCTGTATAACTACTAATAATATACAAAGATAAGTTTTGTAATATTCACACACAAATGTGTATTACATTATTATCTACTTTTCTTAATTCTTACTTATAATATCTATCCTTGTTACTGTAAAACTATATAAAAGAGTTTATTTTTTTTATTTTTTAACACAGGCAGGTGTTTCTATTATTTAGTTTAACATGTTAATTTTAATTAAGTTATCCATATAGCTGAAAGTCAACATAGAATGAAATATGGATGTTTCTGGGGGGGGGTTTTTTGGGGGGGTTTGTGGGGGGGTTTTTTTTTTTTTTTTTTTGTTTTTTTTAAAATTAATTTTAGATTGCGGTTCTGTTGAAAATATCAAAAATGGGAAATTAAACTTAGACGATGCAACCAAGTCGACAATGGGGGCAACAGCCACAGTTGTATGTGACCCTGGCTATAAGGCAAACCAGGACAAAATAAAGTGCCTGAAATCTGGAAAATGGGGAAAATCAAGTTGCGAAATAAAAGGTACTTTTCAAAAGATAACATACACATAATATTGAAAGTGTTTTTTATACCAATTGAAATGTTTATACAATACAAAACAATATAGCTATTGGACAATTAACTAGAAACATAAAGACTAGATTATATTTACAAAAATGCAACAACAAAAATTTAAGAAGATATCTTTCCCGTCCCACATGATAAAAATAAACACTTAGTCTAGATATCTGTTTATAATATACTATCTGTTTATTGTATAATATATATTATACTATTGTATAGATTTTATACATTTATTTGACTTAAAGCACTGTATGGTAAATATTTCGGCAACATTTAAAAAAAATAGAACGATTTCATTGGCAGACAAAGTATTGGTCAAAATATACGTATAAGTTTTCATCCAGTAAAGTATGGTGGCTGTTTTGTGCCATTCGTGTTTTCGCCCCACGACCCCGCAAATCAAAAAGTCGAAAATAAACAAGTTAAATGGCGGGGACGGGGAGCGAAAACACTCTAATAAGCGAGATATTGATGTCATCGTTTGGTTTGCCAGTATGTCTCATTGAAAATGATTCTTACCTTTTTTCTTAAAACATTGTCAGATTGCGGACCAGTTGAGAACGTTCGTAAAGGAAAAGTAATCCTTGATAATAATACGGAATCGACGGTTGGAGCAAAAGCAACTTTGGAATGTTTTCCAGGGTATAAGCCAAATCAAAAGAAAATAGTTTGCTTGAATACAGGAAAATGGGAGGAATCAAGGTGCAAAATCAAAGGTATTTTTCAACGCAATGCTTTACACACATTATCTGATCAACATTATTATTAGTAGTAATAGTAGTAGTTTCATTTATGGTGGCATATTTCTGCCATAATTAACCATATTATAATCGCAGTTACTGTCTAACTTACAAGCAACACAAGAAATAACAGTATTAAACAGACTTACTAAATATCTTTTCTGTTAGATACATGATGAACGAGTAATTACCTAACTTCCAAAAACACGAAAAAGTCCACAGAACTGTCAACACTATCAAGTTAAATAATATATACATGTACTTAATTGTTTATCAATAAAACTTTTGTGTTACCCTAAAACTTTATATATGTATACAATGTGTTTAGAGATAACATCAGTACATACTTTTTAAGTTCACTTTGGCTAGTGATGGAAAATGTGAACTGCACCTAAAAACGTTATCCTATTCTGATTTTTCTGAATAGCCGTACATTTTGTTACTATATAAAGTAGCATAAGTATGAGTATGAGTACATAATTAAGTTTTCTTGGCAGAATAGGGTGTTTAGTCACTAATTTATTCTCTGATCCAGTTCAATAAAATAGAAACAATAGGGCCTGACAAATCGCCAGCTTTATAGAATGATGACAAAGAAACAGTTACTGACTTTCGGCTTTCACAGTAACTTTTAAACTGCTTTCTCTTCATCATAATTATAAAAGTTAATAACATTGATTCGTATGCCCCAAAACCTTAAACCGTCAGGTGATGACAGATTAATTTTGGAAAAGAAAACGACACACTTTTAAGGTTTGAATGATTACAAGCTAGGGATAGGAAACTGCCGCTTAATAAACATTTATGTATTCAGACTTTATTTTTGACTAGTCAGGACGCAAATCTGCCGTTCCATGGTAAGTTACTTGTATTCGCCTTCAGAGTTTTAGATTTTATCTAGTTTGTAATTAGGAAAGGACAAACATATATTTTTCATTGTCGTTTTTACAGGCGTCATATTAACGCTAAAAGTCAAAACTTTTTTTCCTTTCACCAGTTGTAATTATTAATTTGGAAAGCAGACTGAGCAAATGACCTACAATGTTGGACAAATGTTATATATATACAATGTATATACATAAATTGACCATTTTGTGATTGGTCGATTACCTGAACCATTTTGTGATTGGTCAATTACCTGAATATACATTGATTATATAATAATATATATATATAATGATATAATATATAATGATTATATACCTTTGAATGAAATAAAAATTTCGTGTTTCTTCATCCCAAAAACCTTAGTGAAGTCCCTTTTGGGCTTTTTCTTTTCAACCTATATAATTCACAACTTTAAATTGCGCTCAGTGAATAATATATTCCGATTTGTTTCTGTTTTTATGTGTTCTTACTCTGCACCACAGTAGCATTGAATTTAAAAAGCGATGGACGCTTGTATTTTGTTTCAATATTGTTTTTAATGCATTTGATCCACAGACTGTGGGACCCCAGCAAGTGTGATCAATGGAAATTTGAACTTTACCTCAACAAAATTTGGAGCAACTGCTTCAGTTATCTGTGATGAAGGTTCTGTCTCAAACCAAAAAACGATAAGCTGCCTGGACACTGGAAATTGGGAAACACCAACATGTACAATAATAGGTATTTTATGATTTAGATATTTTTGTGTATTTCATGATTTATAAATTGTATTTATCCGATAAGTCAAGCACAAACATTGATTATCTATAATTGTACCCTGTAAATTATAATAAATGCGTTTTGAAAAACATTCTTACACTGTTGGCGTTTTAAAACATGAAGAGAAAATTATACGGCCTGGTGCCTGGCCACATCAACAGCTTAATGGTATTTGACCTTTATCGTTGACTTCACATTCAATAACCAAGCGAAGTGACCCAATAGTACAAAAGAAGGTTTAATTGTTTTGCAACTATTTGTATGTGTCGAGAAGTAAACTAAATCATCTAACACATTTTTTCTAGCTTTAAAGGACGATAAAAAAAATTTAAAAAAAGAAGACGAAAGTATTTTTTGCTTCTAATGTTCATATGTTAATGCCACAATGACCAAAAAGTAGACACATTCACAACTAAAAACATTTCGTGATGATTGAACTTAGTAATGTGACCAATGTCTATTTCATTTGGCAGTGACAATTGTTCAAACCATTTTCTGTTGGAATTGTCTTTGCTTTTACATCCTTTCTTAATTGATTTGGATGAATATGATAATTTTCTACAGACTGTGGGTCTCCCGAAAATGTGACAAATGGGGCTTTGAACTTTACCACAACAACATTTGGATCAACAGCTGCTGTTGTCTGTGATAATGGATACGCGGCAAACAAGACAAATATAAGTTGCCTTGAAACTGGCAGTTGGGAAACAACAGGCTGCAAAGGTATTTTACGAATAGAATAACTTTGTTTAGTCTTTATATATTATGTTTCGGTATTTCCCTTCTAAAGGAAATAATGTATTCTTAAGTTATATATAAGGTTATCAGATAAAATGTAAATGATTTATTTTTTGAAGAATTAGTACATGTACATAATAAATGTAAATAATCGTTAAACCCTCTACGGCTTGTTTTATAGGATTTTATATATCCGTCTATTAGTAAACTCTTACATCCTGACTGATTTAATTCAGTCTCTCTGAATAGTATCTTAACAGATTTGTACCCTTATATTTAAAATGTGTCCCTTTAAGGTCAAAACTAACGTGTGTGTGTGTTTGGTTTGTTTACCCTTGCCACCGGAATGAACCATATGGGCGAGCACATACTTCATTTAAAACTTGCTTTATTTATATGGGAACTAATTTAATTTGTCTATAGTTTTATCGGTACATGTGTTTACGTGTGTGCCATAATTCCTACCACAAGTTCGTATAAAAGTACGCAACCCATGATAGGAATAAGATGGGATTGCTCCCATACTTAGTTAAAATGACGTGTATTTAAATTACTTAAGGTTAAAAGGGCCGAGACGTTTATAAAAAGCACCGTCTCTTATAACAGGTCAACTATTATAATATACTATGATTAAAATGAGAGAAAGAAAGTCTTTTTAAAGCAATGTCAGGAACGCATTTCCCCAATTCAATGTGGCTAGTAATTAAAAGTCTAATTTGATCAGATACATACACAAAGGAGTGTCAAAATTTTAAAAACAAGTTTGTTTTAGTGTGTGTGTTTGTGTTTGTTTACCCTCGCCACCGGAAAGAGACCATATGGGCGAGCATATACTTCATTTATAATCATTAAAAAAAATGGGGATCTGATGTTTATTGTACTTGTTATTATATCCGTACATGTGTTTATGTGCATACCATATCCCCCATGACAGGGTTGTCTCTACGTACAACCTTTGCCATGGGAGGAAGATGGGGCAGTCCCATACTAAGTTTGAGAAATCTAAAATTTATTAATTAAAAGCATTTTGATTTAAAATCGGCCAAGGACGTTTATATAGAGTACCGTCTTTTATAACAGGACTAATATTTATTTTATATAACTAAAAAGTTTTTAGAAATTTACCTATAATTGTAGAGTTCGCATCTAATGTGCGAGAAGGCATGTCAGGAACGTATTCTGACCAATTCCAATGTGGGCTGACTGTTGTTTATATTGGTATTTGTTTCTATTTACATGTTATAAACCGTATACATTGGGGATGCATATAATTAATTACATGTTTGCGTAATTAGCAGAGTTTGTTTTTAAATTTTTGTAAATTTTGTAAGTTCTACCGAACACCCGCTTTATAAAGTTAATTTTGATTGGTTTAGAGAGGATTGCCTCCTTTTGTTCTCATGTCTAAAATTTCTTCTATCTGAATAAGGAGGTCAATCCGATTTTCTTGGAAAATTATGCAAGTTTTTGTGTTGACCTATTTCGACAAGTTTGTCGCGCGGACTGGATAGAAATTTTGCGGGTGCCCGTTTGCATTCCAATGTATACGTGTTTTTACCAACTTTATTTCAAAATTAAAACAAATATGATAATTAAAATGTGGTGGAAAACGGCCTTATCTATTTCACTGTCTCATGGTCTATAAAATTATTATGCATCTAGATATCACACATAATAATAAATCTTCTATTACTTAACAATTCATAGAAGAATAAGAAAAAAAAATGTAAGTCCCAAATATGGCTAATTAATAATAACTTGGTTACCCATAATGTGATGAGATAGTCTTTATGTAACATATTTAAGAAAATCTCATGCTTGAGTGAACCCGTGATAAAACGTATTGCTCCATATGGGGGCACGGGTTCACGTTTTCAGTATTAAGGATACTAGTTTATATATACAGGAATAAAAAAGATAGATAATAAATAACACGGGGGGGGGGCAAAGGGATAATAATACAATATGGAGTCTTTTTTGACATTATGGGTAATCTGTAGCCAGCACCTCCCAATTTTGATAATAACCATGAGACTGTATGGTTAAAATAGTCTAGTGCACAGCCTATTTAAGAAATTATTCAATTAAAATTACATAGCAATAAAATTACAAAATAAATAAATAAATAAACTTCGTAATAGCACCGTTTCACGGCCACTTATTAGGGCCACTTTTAAAAATAAACACATAAAATAGGTTATGTACACTTTATACAAAGGCTGTGCACTGACTCAAAAATTTAAAACATAAAATATTTACTTTATATATCAAAATATTTATTTATTTTCGTGTCCTGTTATAGTATTGGTCAATTACCTGAACCATTCTGTGATTGGTCAATTACCTGAACCATTTTGTGATTGGTCAATTACCTGAACCATTCTGTGATTGGTCAATACCTGAATCATTCTGTGATTGGTCAATTACCTGAACCATTCTGTGATTGGTCAATTACCTGAACCATTTTGTGATTGGTCAATTACCTGAACCATTCTGTGATTGGTCAATTACCTGAACCATTCTGTGATTGGTCAACTACCTGAACCATTCTGTGATTGGTCAATTACCTGAACCATTCTGTGATTGGTCAATTACCTGAACCATTCTGTGATTGGTCAATTACCTGAACCATTCTCACGGGGGCGGAAGTGTTACACGAAGGATGGAGTTCTTATGATAACTTGTTCAGGAGTTCTTGTGATAACTGTCACGGAGTTCGTCGGAAAACATCTGTATATACTACAAAAACACTCGTCAAAAATGGTTATTTTCATCTTTCCAAAATGAGTGTAGGTGCTAAATTAAACTTTAATGATTAAGCTTGTCTTACATCTTGTATTATGTGTCAAAAACTAATTCACAGGCTATTTTTCATCGCCTCCTGCTTCAAATCTGGTAGTTTTGAGTAAAATTTCCAAATCATTTGCCAATTCACAAGTATTGACCGGTTTATTTCTGGTCTTCATCCTTGCCATACATAATTACCTAATTATAATGCAAAATTGCAACATAAGCACTGGGCTAACAGATTTATACCCGATTTTTCAAATGTCCCGGAGTTCTTGTGATAACTCTGAAAATGTCACAGAGTTCTTATGATAACTTTCGTTATTGCAAGTGTGTTTCTTGCGCTAAATCACGGCACGTTTTGGCGTTTATTATCATTCAATTAAATTGTAAATCATTATGTAATGCAGTACGATCATCCTTTGCACAAAAAATGTGGATAAAAACGTTGTCTTTAAGTGTCTTCAAAGGATAAATAGGTGATAGTCTATCATAGGCTATCATCTACAGTAACCAGCGGCCACTGATTACTCAGCAGTATAATGGCTTAAACCACAAAACAAAAATGTAATCAAAAACGTACACGTTTGTTCTCAGTTTAAGCAACCATCTTTCTTAAGCAGACAATATATAGGCATGCTTCCCTTACCTAAGGGCTAAGTAATTTGTATCATTTTATACCATAATAAATAAGTATATAAACCAGGATGATTTTCCACTTATGTCCTAAAAAGTACGATACATGATAAAAACCTCAACTGCGGTGGCTCTAACTACCGATCTCTCGAAAAAAAATTTGAACGGTCCCTCCAGGTTCCAGATTTAACCTGGAATGGGATTTCAGTTATTGTGTCACGGCATTCAAACTAGAATTCCACAAGGTTGTTGCTTGTAAGTGTCGCAAGTTCTCTAATGTAACTTAAAACAACAGACAAACTTTGAAACATACCATGTATTAATCGCTTTACTATTATAACTGATGTTTTACATAGAAAACAAATGTTTCTCAGATTGATGCAGTAACAAAGATGCTTAACTGAGAGAAAAAAAAAGACTGTATGCCTGGATGAAAATGATAAAGGCCAGAAAACTGCTAGGGGGCCAGAAAACAGCTAGGGAAACCAGTACATAAATCCTTTTTCAGTCTACGAAATCTGCGTCAAACAAAAAAAATCTATGAAAAAGAACGCGGGTATAAAAATAATATCTCTTGAGCTAAAATTCACTCAAAACAACATTATATATCCTATTTTTTGCGCAAAGGATGAGCGTACTACATTTCATAATGATTTACAATCTCAATGAATAATAAAAAAACGCAAAAACGTGCCGTGATTTTTATTTAGCGCAAGAAACACACTGCCAATAAAAAAGTTATCATAAGAAACTCTGTGACATCTTCAGAGTTAATCACAAGAACTCCGGGACATTGAAAAATCGGGTAAGGCATAAATAAAAGAAAAAAAAAAATACCCACGACATGTTAGCCGGGCTTTATGTTTGCAATTTTGCCTATTAGATTAGGTAATTATGTATAGCAAGGATGAAGACCAGAAATAAACAGCGTTCAATTCTTGGAATTTTGGCAAATAAATTTGGAAATTTTACTCAAAACTACCAGATTTGAAGCCAAGAGGACGTAAAAATGGTCTGTGAATTAGTTTTTTGACACATAATACAAGATGTAAGACAAGCTTATTCATAAAAAGTTTAATTTAGCACCTAAAACTCATTTTGGAAAATGAAAATAACCATTTTTGACGAGGTTTTTGTTAAGTTATATACAGATGTTTTCCGACGAACTCCGTGACCAGTTATCACAAGAATCCTGAACAAGTTCATAAGACTCCATCCTTCGTGTAACAACTTCCTCCCCCGTGATTTCTGTGATGGTCAATTACCTGAAAACCATTCTGTGATTTGTCATACCTGAACCATTCTGTGATTGCGTCAATTACCTGAACCATTGCTGTGATGATTGGTCAACTACCTGAACCATTTCTGTGATTGGTCAATTACCTGAACAATTCTGTGATTGGTCAATACCTGAACCATTCTGTGATTGGTCAATTACCTGAACCATTTCTGTGATTGGTCAATTTACCTGAACCATTCTGGTGATTGATCCAATTACCTTATGAACCATTCTGTGATTGATCAATTACCTGAAAACCATTCTGTGATTGGTCAATTACCTGAACCATTCTGTGATTGGTCAATTACCTGAACCATTTTGTGATTGTCGTCGATATCGAACATTTTGTGATTCGTCAATTACCTGAACCACCATTTTGTTGATTCGTCAATTACCTGAACAATTCTGTGTTGATTGCGTCAATTACCTGAACCATTTTGTGATTGGTCAATTACCTGAACCATTCTGTGATTGGTCAATTACCTGAACCATTCTGTGATTGGTTAATTACCTGAACCATTCTGTGATTGTTCAATTACCTGAACCATTCTGTGATTGGTCAATTACCTGAACCATTTTGTGACTGGTCAATTACCTGAACCATTTTGTGATTGGTCAATTACCTGAACCATTCTGTGATTGGTCAATTACCTGAACCATTTTGTGATTCGTCAATTACCTGAACCATTCTGTGATTGGTCAATTACCTGAACCATTCTGTGATTGGTCAATTACCTGAACCATTCTGTGATTCGTCAATTACCTGAACCATTCTGTGATTCGTCAATTACCTCAACCATTCTGTGATTGGTCAATTACCTGAACCATTCTGTGATTGGTCAATTACCTGAACCATTCTGTGATTGGTTAATTACCTGAATCATTCCTTTGGCAATTAGAACAATAATAGTGATTCAGTATATATATATTTAGTCGAATTTTGTTCTTGCTTTACCCGTTGCTACTTTGTGACAAATAATTTTACATTCAGCACTCCTTTCTGTAGATGATAAACAACTAAATTGCAAATAAACAATTAATTAAAAGTAATAAAACTCATACATTCCCTCCATAAAAAGGAGTTCTCTATCATTTCTAATGTGTCTTTAATGTTTCCTATTATATGTCTTTTCTTTTAGTTGTAGATGGAAGTAAGCATTCTAAAACATATCCGTGAAATATATGCTAAGCGTGTACCGAGGAATGCATATTGGCTAAATTATTCATTTACTCTATTTATAATTCTTAAATGTCCTGAGAATCTCGTATAAAATATCACTGTGGGCCCATTGTGTAACGTTTTAAGAGGAGCAAGATTTATTATAACTTAAATTAAATTTCTTCACATCGGAAAAGCGCCAAACTCTACACATTCCATAAATATATGTCCTAATTCAGTAAAAGTAATTATCAACTTGGATACATGTTTAGTATCCATCATGTCTGTTTGAAGTAAACCTTTTTATAATAAATATCTTAAAGGAACACTTCATCTTTATTTGGTCTTTTCAATATTTGTCTCTCTCTCTCTCTGTTAGTCTGTTTGTCTTTCAGTCCCTTATCATTAAATAGTGATTAGTTGTTCCGATATGCTTATTTGTATGAGTCTATTGATGGTCAATAATTTTAGTGGATGTCTACGCCGATGCCTATAATTACCTTGAAAATGTATTTTCGTAAATGACAGAGTACAGTATTAACTTACAAAAAGTTAAAAGTTATAGTAGTTTAATTATGTTAATGCGAACTGTACAAATCTTATAATTATCCTCTCCCATTATAACAAAACGCAACAAAAATCACTATATGTCAACGTTTGTTACATTATATCAAACGTTATATACATTTTACTACAAAAACACTTTAATTTATATGATTAAATCTTTCTGTGCCATTTTCCTTTGAAGACATACGATGTAAGGCAAACAACACGTGTGGATTGTCTGCCGGATCATGTAGTACTCCAGGTCAAAGTAAGTCAGCAATGATCTATATTTCTTTCAAATTTTATGTTCCCTACGGACAGACTCTGATATATTATACTTCGTGAGTTTTAATTTAAAGAACTTAACGATGATATATCAATAAACGATAATTAACAATTAGCAAATAATCTTGATGGTTTGCCATTTTCACACTGCCATATGTATATATTTGCAATGTATGTAATAAACTTGTCTACTGGTTTAAAATTAAACTTGTTTTGTAATGATATGATTTCCGTTGTAGATTGTTATATAGATGATGTTGAACTGTATATACCGAACGTACTCGCAAGGGAAACTGAACTTTTTGAACAACCTATTGCCTCAGAAGAAATTTGCAGAGAAATGTGTTATAATGCCACATCGTATCGCTGTGTTGCCTTCGCCTATTACGGGCCTTCAAACCAATGTATGACATACAGCAAAACTCCTGCTGAAGGATTAAAAACGAGTTATCATAATATTTTGGGACTGAACATTCTGACATGTCTAGATTGTTGAACCATTTAAAACGATCAGGCCTGATTAATACTTTTTATCAAAGTATTAGGACTAAATCATATTGTCTGGCATGTATTTACTTTCATTTTTAGACTTTTTGAAGTGCAATTTGCGCCATGAAATTACAAACAAACAAAATTCAATAAATTCATCTGCAAAAAAACATGCTATTTTATACTTATTTATTAATGAGTTTCCAAGTGGTAATCCTACAAATACTAAAAATTAATAAAGAGTATTATATCGAAATTAATAAAATGGTTTAAAAATCAACTAAAATAGTACAAAGCAATTCAACCTTTCCGGCTAAAAGATATTGATTTAAGACGTAGCTTGATTGCAATGCCCGTAATCTTCCAGAAGTGTTAACAATAAATGAAACAAATTTTAAGGAAGTCAACTGAGGTCCAAAAGCCTAGAAATATATATTTTCTATCATAGATCAGCTGGAACACTTTAAACAGAAAGATACGAAAACATTAATTAAGACAAATGCTCAAACTGAATAAACGTCTCGTTAATAGAAACCGCATTTGGCGCGGTTGATATCATAAGTAACAAAGGAAATGTCGTAAATTTACATTCCTTCAAAACCACCAACATCTTATTGAAAGGACATCGGAACGTGACACATTATATTTAACGACAATGTGAATGATGTTGCAGTTAAATTTTCGATGGTTCGAAAGCTGAAGTGACAAAATGACACTATAGACTTACCTAATCTGGAGGTACATACAAACTTTGCAGTTCCAGCTTCGACTAAAAGTTAATCTATTATGACCGAAAGTGTACCGTTGAATATATAAAGGAAAGCCTATTTGAACTATTTGCAACAAGAGGCATGTCAACATGGCCATCCCCCGCCGAATGGGTTTGCTTATTGGAAGAATGTTTATGTAGTAGAGCAGAATAATTCAATTTTAAGAGGTCTTTTGGTAATGAAAACTAATGGCTGAAGTGATTACCGATTTGAAACCTATGTGAATACTGATGGCTGAAAATAACAAATAGTAATAACTGAAAAATAATGCAGGGTAGAGTTATCATTCTTTTGTGCTGCATCCCTCCTCAGTAAAATCTATCCACCTATGAAGTTTCAAGCTGATACCTCAAATACTTTTTGAGGTAAGATCCGGACAAAATAGTATGAAAAAGGACAAAGGGCAATAACTCAAAATTATATAAGGAAACGTTATCATTCTTGTGCACAGCATTCCTCCTCAATAAGATCTATCCACCTATGACATTTCATGTTGACATCTCAAACACTTTTGAGTTATGCTTCACTAAGGTAAAAAATAAAGTATGAAAAGTAACAAAGGGCAATAACTAAAAAATTGTGAAAGGTAGAGGTATCATCATTCTTATGCACTGCACATCTCCTAAATGAAATCTATGCACCTAAGAAGTTTCATGTTGATATTTCAAAGGCTTTTAGAGTTATGCTCTGGACAAAAATTGATTTTGCAAAATAACAAAGGGCAATAACACAAAAAATAATGCAGCGTAGAGTTATCGTTCTTGTGTACTGCACTCCTCCTCAATGAGATCCATCTACCTTGAATTTTCAAGTTGATAACTCAAATACTTTTTAGCTCGACTATTCGATAAGAATAAGTAGAGCTATTGCAGTCACCCGAGCGTCGGCGTCGGCGTAACCACTTATGTTAAAGTTTTTGTAATAGTTCAAATATTTTCAAAGTCCATTGACATATGGCTTTGAAACTTTGCAAACTTGTTCACCATCATGACCCTAACCTGTAGACAGGAGGAGGTAACTCTATCAAGCATTTTGACAGAATTATGCCCCTTTTTCGAGTTAGAATTTACGTTAAAGTTTTTGTAATAGTTCAAATATTTTCAAAGTCGATTGACATATGGCTTTGAAACTTTGCACACTTGTTCACCATCATGACCCCAACCTGTAGACAGGAGAAGGTAACTCTATCAAGCATTTTGACAGAATTATGCCGCTTTTTCGACTCAGAATTTACGTTAAAGTTTTTGTAATAGTTCAAATATTTTCAAAGTCCATAAACATATGGCTTTGAAACTTTGCACACTTGTTCACCATCATGACCCCAACCTGTAGACAGGAGAAGGTAACTCTATCAAGCATTTTGACAGAATTATGCCCCTTTTTCGACTTAGAATTTACGTTAAAGTTTTTGTAATAGTTCAAATATTTTCAAAATCCATAGACATATGGCTTTGAAACTTTACACACTTGTTCACCATCATGACCCCAACCTGTAAACAGGAGGAGGTAACTGTATCAAGCATTTTTTTTACTATCAAGCACTAAGAATAGTCGAGCGTTGCTGTCCTACCGACAGCTCTTGTTGAGATAAGCTCCGGACAAAATAGTATGAAAAAGAACAAAGGGCAAGAACTCAAAAATTATATAGCAACGAGTTATCATTCTTGCGCACAGCATTCCACCTCAATAAGATCTATCCACCTATGACATTTCATGTTGACATCTCAAACACTTTTGAGTTATGCTCCACTAAGTTGAAAAATTAAGTATGAAAAATAACAAAGGGCAATTACTAGAAATTTATGAAAGGTAGAGGTATCATTTTTATGCACTGCACATCTCCTAAATGAGATCTATGCACCTAAGAAGTTTCATGTAGATATCTCAAAGGCTTTAGAGTTATGCTCTGGACAAAAATTAGTTTTGAAAAATAACAAAGGGCAATGACTCAAAAATTATGCAGCGTAGAGTTATCATTCTTGTGCACTGCACTTCTCCTTAATGAGATCCATCTACCTGTGAGTTTCAAGTTGATAACTAAAATACTTTTGAGATAAGCTCCGGACAAAATAGTATGAAAAAGAACAAAGGGCAATAACTAAAAAAATATACAGCCCTCAATGAGATCTACCCACCTATGACATTTCATGTTGATACTTCAAACACTTTCTGAGTTATGCTCCACTAAGTTGAAAAATTAAGTATGAAAAATAACAAAGGGCAATGACTCAAAAATTATGAAAGGTAGAGTTATCATTATTGTGCACTGCACACCTCCTGAATGAGATCTATGCACTTATGAAGTTTCATGTTGATATCTCAAAGGCTCTTGTAGTTATGCGCTGGACAAAAATTAATTTTGAAAAATAACAAAGGGCAATTACTGAAAAATAATGCAGGGTAGAGTTATCATTTTTATGCCTCCTCAATATTATCTATCCACCTGTGAAGTTTCAAGTTGATACCTCAAAAACTTTTGAGATATGCTCCGGACAAAAATGTCGGACTGAAGGACGGATGGCAGGAAGGACAGACGGACGGAGACTATTTCTATATTCCCCGCCGCCTTTCGGCGGGGGATAATAACGTATGCTGTCATGTAGTTTTCAGGTAGGTTTCCTTGGTGTCAACTGTACGATCTCAAAAAACCGTTTGCAATAGTCTTTCGATAAATCGCCAGCTCAAGAATGGATAACTTTGAAACGTAGTATATTTTTCCCAATAAATTAAAAATAGTCGAAAATTCGATACATATATCGAGTCAAAGATATGTCATTTCTTTTTTATTTCCCTTTAACAGACGAAAAAAGAATTACCATGGGGAAAAACTTTGCAATTTTAACAAATAACATTCTTAGGTGACACTCAATTTGTACATTGCGTGAATGTTTCCGTTAAGTAGACAACTTACATAATTATGTAACTATTTATTTTCAAGTGAACTCACTGCACATTATTTAGTACCAGATACAATATCATTAAACAGTATAATTTTATTGAGATAACCTAACATTTACTTTTCATAGATCATGATTGATAATATAGATATTGATTCCAATGGTGTTCCTATTCTTGTCACATTTTTCAACTCTGACTTTCATCAACATTTGGGATGTGCGTATAGTTTTGTGATGTAGAGAGACAAATCAATCTGGGTTCTTTCTTTATTCTTACATCGAATGTAAAAATAAATACTTTACTATACTACACTTTTATCTAAGGCAAAAGGCCGAGAGCATAAGAAAGTAGAAGTTAATCAATGAAAGACATAACAAGAAACATGGCAATGCCATGAAACCAGGTTTTCAATTATCACCATTGTAGATAAATATGTTGTATTTGAAATACAAATACAAGCAACAAACAATGTAACTATGTGCAATGTAAAACATGAATAATGTAGGAGGAATTGCCACTGAAGAAGTGTTCACTATAATATTATGTATAAGGAAAAAAACAAAGGGCCATAATTAGGTCAAAAACTATCCAATCACAAAACCCCGACAATATGTGCCAGGGTGCTTGATGACAAAGCTTCTGTGAAAGTTTGAACAAAATCCGTTGAGAAATGTAGGACGAGTTCAGCACAGAAGAATTTGTTCACTATAATTATATTGATAATTCTGTATAATGAAAAACAAGTTACAAAGTAGACATGAAATAATATATCATATCTTTTTTAAATTACCTCCAAAGATGATATGACCTTTGACTGCCAAATCAAGTTAAAATCATGTAAACAGGATTTTCAATGTTAATGTCACTGTGACCTTGACCTTGGAGCCAGCCATGCGGAACATGCGTTCTGCACGTCATCTTGATGTGGTAAACATTTGTCTGAAGTTTCATCAAAATTCTTCAAAGGGTTGAAGAGTTACAGAGCGGACAGGATTTTCAATGTTAATGTCACTGTGACCTTGACCTTGGAGCCAGCCATGCGGAACATGCGTTCTGCACGTCATCTTGATGTGGTAAACATTTGTCTGAAGTTTCATCAAAATTCTTCAAAGGGTTGAAGAGTTACAGAGCGGACACAATTTCGTTTGACGCCCGCCCGCCCATCCGCCCATCCGCCCATCCGCCCGCCATACCCCAATCTAATAACCAGGATTTTCAAAATTGAAAACCTGGTTAACAAAAGGAAGGAGTGTTTAAAAACAGCACGAGCTGTATTAAAAATGGTATTTTTTTACTCCTCAGGACAGTGTTTCTATTTGAGCTAAATTGTGATCCGTATGAAAAAGTAAATGCCAAAAAATCTATGTACATTAAGCCGAAATGTTTGATTTGAGATTTAATTGGTGGGATTTGTTTCCATTACAACTCATCCCGCAAGGAATTTAGAAATATTAACTGCCATAGTAAATCAAGATACTGTCAAAA